CGCAAGTTCTTGGTGTAAATGGGACCAGATATCAACCACCCGAATTTAGAACCTTGTAAATATGGCCCGCATGGTAAACGAATTTTATTATTATTTAAAAGATCCCAAAAAATATTGGCCCCTAATAATAAATCTATATCTGAGGGTACATTAAAATTAGGATCCGCAAGTTGAATGTTATTGGGAATATAACGTTTAATATCGAATTTAATGTTCATCGAGGGTAAACTAGACGTAATACACGGCAAGACGAAACAATTTAAATTTACTTTATAGTCGTTTATTTTTGAACGGATAGATACATCGCATGAATGTCTCGATTGTGAAATGAATTTTCCAACACCCGAGATTTGAACAGTGGACTGTATTAGAGGCGCATTTAACCGTTTACACAACTTATCCGAAACAAAACAATGCTGGCTTCCATTATCGAGAAGAGCACGAATTGTGTGTAAATTTCTAGAAACTGTGTCTATTAATTTACGAATTTGTGATGGTGATTCCTGTTTAAAGCTTGGAATATTAAATAATGATTTGACGTGATTATTAATTAACAATCGAATGTTATTATAACGATTTTCAAGTAGCTCCCATGCTTGGATATAATTAAGCGCTGTAAATTCTAGAGAAATTATCACTTTTTTTTTTTTTTTTTTTTTTTTTAATTTATTAAGAAACCCACAGCGTTCTATAAAGTTTACATTAAACAATAGTATTCTTATAATAAGGCCAATAACAAGTTTCCCTTAATTACTATGACATAGCATACTACGGTCGTAATAATTAGTAACCGGTGGGTATAGACTCATATTTACACTTAAATCATTAAATTGAATTGTTGCACCTGTTCCCTCAGGCAGCACGCACATTCAAATGTTTCAAAAAAAAATTCATGAAAATATGTACACATATACATTAATGAAATCATTAACATCACACAATTTTCAACGGTAACAAACAAATACACAAGAATACACACATGTTATTTTTTTAACAAACAAATACACGAAGACACACATGTTATTTATTATACACTAGGTTAGCAGTATAATATTACTATTTTACTTTACTTTAAGTTATAAATTATTTTATGTTATTTAATTTTATTTTGGGTTTTAGGTTTAAGACTTTCAATAGCTAAGCGCCTAAAAACGTTCTTACTGTGGTTAAAAATATCAATTTCTCCAAAAAATTCGTTGTAAAGGCTGGGTAGACGCGAGAGGGGTGCATTACGCGCGTAATTAGTACTAGCACGTGGTACACTTAACAGGGGCGGCAGATGGCGCGTGGCGCGGCGAGCGCGTCGTAAAGGCACATTAAGCCCCACGCTCGTAACTAGCTCGGGGCAATCAATGCGTCCGTGCACTATGTCGTACAGTAGACACACATCCACTAGTTTACGTCTATCTTCAAGGGTAAGTAGGTTAAATCGGTCACAGTTCTCTTGATAGGTTGGTAAGGCTGGTTTATGTTCGCGATAATTAAGATGCTTGATAAATATTTTCTGTACGCGCTCTAGACGATTTATGTAAATGGCGTATTGAGGGGACCAGATCGGGGAGGCATATTCAACGACACTGCGAACATAAGCATTATATAATGAATTCAAGGTACTTATATTTTTAAAAGGTTTACATGACCTAATGACAAATCCTAGATTTTTAAAAGCCCTGTCCGCTATTTTGTCAACATGGTCAGACAAAAGCATTTTACTATCGAAGTATACGCCAAGATCTCTCACAGTCGATGTTCTATTAATTGGTATTCCGTTAAAGTTGTAGCAGTATAATATTGGGTTGGGTTTTCTCGTGAAAGTAATGCACTCACATTTTTTTATATTAACTGTTATATTGTTCTTCAAGTAATAATTTAATAAGGCGTCTAAATCAAGTTGCATTTTAAAACAGTCCTCTTCACTTTGAATCTTGACGAATATTTTTTTATCATCAGCGTACATTAAATGTTGTGTAAAGGTAAAACAGTTGATGATATCATAGACGTAAGCGTCGTAAAAAAGAGGTCCTAAATGAGAACCTTGGGGTATACCTGTTGGTATGTCAATGAAATCCGATCTGTATCCCCCCACCACCACAGCTTGTGACCTGTTATGTAAGTAAGATTCGATCCACCTGAGCAGATCCCCGTGAATACCCAATATCTGAAGTTTTCTCGAAAGAATGACGTGGTCCACACGATCGAAAGCTTTTTCAAAATCCGTGTAGACCACGTCAATTTGCCCGCCGCCATCCATATTTGATAATACATAGTTCGAAAAGCACGCGAGATTTGTGACAGTGGAGCGTTGTCTGAGAAATCCGTGCTGGGTAGCTGGAAGGCCTTTACTTATAACAGGGTATATGGAATCAAAAACTATTTTTTCGAAGACTTTACTAATTGTATTTAAGATTGAGATTCCCCTGTAGTTTTCAACTTTACTTTTGCTACCCTTCTTATGTATAGGCACCACGTGTGCTTTTTTCCAAATTCTAGGAAAGACTCCTTCGCGGAGTGAAATATTAAATATAAGGGCTATAGGTGTGCATAAAGTCTTTGCACAGTTACGCCAGAATAATGGTGGAATGTTATCACATCCAGCTCCCTTTGAAATATCTAGGAGATTTAATCTTTTCTCTACCAGAGACTCCTCAACATGAATTTTGGAAATGGCGTCACCAACTATGCTATCACACTCAATTTCTGTAGACCCGGTGGATGGGACTCCGAAGACGTTTTTGAAGAAATCGTTAAATGCATCACATATGTCTCTCCCATTGGATACTGTGTTTTCTCGGTATGACATTTGTTTGGGATAGTTCGAACCTCCGCGCATGGATTTTATATAAGACCAAAATGCCTTTGGTGTATATTTAATAGATTTTTCAGCCTGTGTTGTAAAATTTTTGAAGCAGTGATCAGTTACGCGTTGTTGTCGTTTACGTAGAAATGAAAATTCATCATAATCTAAATAGTTGCCATATTTTTTCCACCTTTTATGTGCTTTCGCTTTTTCTTTTATTATTTTAATAAGAGCTTGGTTGTACCAGAATGGATAAGTATGATTGCCATGTGTTGTTTTATAAGGAATATATTTTGAGATTATGTTATTAATGGTATCATAAAAAATATTACAAGCGTTCTCAGCTCCACACGAGCCCAACATAGATAGCCAATCGATGTTGCCAAACGCTTCATTTATTTTGTCATAATCGCCTCTGTTGAAGCTATGCTTTGGGAGTGATGCTTCAACTAGAGGGGTAAATGTGATATCTAAGACCTTATTACAAGAGTCACAATCTGTGCGTGCTGAGACCAACTATTAACATCCTCTTTTTTCAACTTAAGTCAGAAGACATGGGAATTATTTTATCATCGTCGAAGATCCATAAAGGATTACTTTTGCTCGCAGTTGTAAACATTTTGTTCTCAGTCCGCGAGCATTTTGATAATAAATAGATACATTTTTCCCTAATTTGTTATATTGGACCGCCATTTAAACATATATTAATTTAATAAATTGTAACTGTCTAATAAGTTTACCGGAAACGAATGGCATAATTATAAAATAAAAAATTATCAAAATAAAATAACAACCACGGACATTTATTAGTAAAGTTATGTTTACAAGTATTAAGTATGTTTTTATTACTTGTTGCGTAATGAGATTTTCGCTCGCAGACGCTAAAATACTATTTCTCCAGAATAATAGCAACGAATAAATATTGTTTTTTATAATAAAAGGATTTATGTGTGTTTGTGACAGAATATTATAGTGTTTACTTATAGAGTGTAATGTTCTACTACTAAGCGGTAGGCGCATCATTTTGCGGGCAAGTTGGCGGTATTGTAAAATAAAATTGTTGCAGGTGCAGAATGCCGTACACTCCCCAAAGCCGATATATATAATTAGTAGTGGTTGCGTAGTACTTTGCTTATTAGTACCAATGATGAGAGAGGTTGGTTGATGTACCATTATGTACTCATGGATATTACAGATTCATAGGTTCAAAAAAGATATGTGCATTAAAAAAACTTGTCTTTGACTTTACTAGTTTGTTACAGTGAACCGATAAGTTTAAATATTTTGTGTTACGGTAACCGCCATTTAATCGACAAACCAATATGAAGTTGTAGTGCACTATGCGTAAGGGAACAGGTGCAAATGCAAAATTACAAAATATAATAATAATTAGTTTGAGCACAGAGTAGACTAACTTCAGAGAGAATATGGACCAAAACGTTTCTCCAATTAACATGGTATTATGGAAATTAATTAAATTATCTATTTTTATATTATTACGGTTGTAATAAAGATTAGTAAAGGTAAACAAACCATAGACACCAAAACCAGTAAGAAAAAATAATAACATTATAAAAACGACATCAGCTATTGTTTGTTGATAATTTTCTTGAGATCCTCTTCGTCGAATATTTGCAGACCAGGAGATGTATCGTTTCGTCGTACAAAAATTCTTCCATTTTTTGTCCAGACGAACTGGTACTGACTCGATTTAGCAAAATCTTTGCACTTTTTTAGGAGCTGCTTATTGTGAGAGGTTAAGTGCTCATTGATAAAAATTGGTCTGCTTTCACCTGCTAGCCCAATGTCCTTAGTGGTTAGACGATTTTTACGGGATAGAGATATTAGGTTATCTTTCAGGAGCCTTGATTTCATTTTGGCAATAATCACCCTGGATCGACCTGGCAGTTTTACTTTTGGGGATACTCTGTTAACCTGCAGAATGTCATTTGTATCGATTTTAACTCCGACGTGTTTACATATTCTTAAGATGGTATCATTCAGGTCCTCGTTGATTGATTCTGGCATGCCGACAATTTCAACATTTAGCATTCGGTCACGTTGCTCGTTGATGTTCATTTGTCGATTTAATTGTTGATTTTGTAGTTTAAGATTATTAATTTCCGATTTGAGGCTGTCGGTTTGCTTTGTGAGCTCAAATAGGACTTCGATATTTTTAGTGGTTTCATCATGCCAGTCAGAGTTAAACTGCACTGATTTTTTGAAGTGTGATTATTTCTTTTTGCATTTCGGATTGTTGTGCACTCAGTACTGCGACACATGATTTTATTTCTGTATATTCCTTCCGAACATTTTTAATCTCTGTCTTCAGTTCCAGAGACTCTTCTTTTAATATAGTAAGATCTTTCTTAATAATATCATTTAATGTGTCGTTTATTTGTGATAGATTTTTATCTATCACTGTTTTCCAGCTATCCATTTTTTTTAATATGGTGTCCGTAAATGCTTGAAACGATTCTGTGATATCATGATCATTCTTTCGCTTTCTTACACCTATGTTCGATAAATCCGGATTAGAATCGTGACGCTTATTAGAAGGTGAGCGTTGCATTTTGCGGAAGGATTTCTCTGAACTCCAGCTACTCTGTGTTATGCGAGTAAGATGCAATAATAACCGGAGTGCAATTTCACTGCGCTGTGAAGGTCACACGCTTACTTAACACGGCACGTAAACACTGACACTAGCAATGCTAAATTAACTCTATTGTAGTTGCAATAATTACGATTTTAGAATGACACTATTTATTGAGAATGATTTAATTTTAACTAAGCGGTACGACACGTCCGTATGCGCCGCGACTCGACAACAACGAGACACTTGTAAGGCAGTACCAGTCAATGATGATTTCAGATAATAAAATTTTTGAATTTCATCCAAGTCAGAACGTTTATGTATCATTGTAATGTATGAGTTTTTGAATTCTAACCAGTTATCGTAAGAGCCGTCGAATATAGGCAGTTTAATTTGAGGTAATTTAACGTTAGATTGCAATGAAGCGCACTGTGTCACTTGAGATCCATCATCCATTCCATCACTCAGACAGTTGGCAACGGCCATTGTGCTAAAATACAATGGTTCTAATGATTCTACATATTCTAAATTGATACAAATTTCACTATCTGAAGAATTAAGTTCTATTTCGCTTTCTATACAATTAAAATTATGAAAAACTTCACTAGCCGATTGCTTCCTTAACTTTAATTCTGCAATTTGAATTTTGTTGAGGCTAGCACCTTCTAAACTTGTAACGTATTTTTTTAAACTGCGTTGTGCCCTTCAAATGACCTCTTTTTCTCTTGAGATCCGAAAGATATTCGTCTACTGATTTCTTTTTCGAAGGCGAAAGAGATGGGACAATTAATTTTACACTAGAACTTTCACTCATTTTGGCGGCCTATGAAGAAATAATGTGGTAAAAGTAGGTACTCACGTGTAAGTATTTACGGCTGTAGCGTTGCAACCAGACAGAAATCTCGAGCACTGTAGATGTGCAAAGAACACGATTTAGCACAATTTGAAAAGGATTGAGAGTAAAAGGGAATAAAAACTGACCGTTTCGCTGCTACTACGCTTAGTTGTGCGACACTGGCTCAGTTCTTAAAATCCGGCTCGAAGGACCAAAATATGGTGCTAGTTTCAGGTTCCCGGTTCAAATGAATCGTTTATTATGTCTTTAAATAAAAATATTTATTTAAAATTACAATTTGAAATAATATAATATGTGGTTGACAAAATTTGTGTTGTTTGCTAGACGTTTAGAATATTAATGAACGCTTCTCCTGAGGCTTCTTTCAAGAGCTTCCTACTCGCGTTTTATACGATACGACATCAGAGGGCGTTCGCTCTCGTAGGTGGCGTTAGTAGTCGTAACAATATCGTAATATTCAGAGTTAGAAAGCATCGTTATTTTGCAAAAAATGTTGGGAAAAAAACTCGAAATAGTTTTAGGATATCGATTAGAAGATTTGAAATTGACAACATATTTTTTTTACAACTTGACATTTTTTGAAGCCAGTACTTGAGTATAATGACATCCTTGTATTGAGGTAGCAAACATTTATGAATGAAAAATAGAAATGCTCTTAAAGTAGACAATTAGTAGGTAAAATAGGTACGTAGGCCTTTCCAATCTTATCTATGGGCATTTCTGTTAAATAATCTGGTTCCCTGACATGACAGCTTGCTTGGGTTGACAAAATTTTTAGCTTTGATAATTAATTATATTTTTACGGAGTATTTTGTAACAGGTTGTATAATGTAATTGTGACGGCCCAATATTATAGTTAATAATTAAATTCAATATAAGTAAAAAATGGTCTTAATATATATATATATATATATATATATATATATATATATATATATATATATATATATATTAAGCAATGAAATTACATTAATAAGCATAAAGTTAAGATATCAGACATTTCAGACGTTAGACCAATAATATAGTAAATTAAAGGCAAAATATTGTCTTACAGAATAAATAAATTTATTAAAAAAATTGGTAAAAAAATATTTAAAAATATGATAAATAATAGAAACACAAGTCGAAAATATTGTAAAAATAATGATAAATAACATTTATAAGATAATTAGAAAATTTGTTAAAAATTGTCTAAGTCATGGAAAAAGTTCATGTATAAAAGAAAATTTTCCTAAGTTATGGAAGGTGTTCATGTATAGTTCTTGTATGGAGGAGCTGCCGGAGATACATACCTGCATTTGTGTATATATGTGGGGTGGTCGGGAGCCCGACTGCTTGAAGTACTGTAGCACAATGACTAATCCTATATTAGGGACTTATGATAATATACTCAATGATACAAAAGCAATACTATAGAATGTCTCTATGATGAATTTGCATTACAATAGTAGGGTCGTGGGTTCAAGTCCTATATATTGTTACGAGCTTGAGGTTCTTGACAATAAAAATTGCCGATAGAATTAAGAAAATTAACTCTTTAATTCACTTTACACTAATTAAAACTTAGAACACTAATAATTAATCACACTGATTCACTTTATTTCGCTCCGAAGCTTCGCTTGTCTCGCCAAATTCAATACTTCCCCGCTCGCATCTTGCAGCGCCTTTAAATACACATTATCAACGAAACATCCAGATTATTCAAGTAAATACGCGCGCCAATTGACCGTGCTTCTAGAAGCTTAGTTCTTCGTTTCGATTCTAGATGGCGCTGTCGGTTGAAAGATTGGTGATGTCATTTTCTGGAAAGCTCTCCTCGCTCCGTTACCCGACACAGATGGCGCTAGTGCCGGGTACATGACGTCAACTTAGGCGCGCAACACTGCCCCCTCCTAAGACAAGCTCGTCCCGAGCATTATCGGCCCCATAATAACACGCCAGGCTATCCACATGGACGATCTTAGGAGTCCCTCTTGCGCCTTTCTGTAACGGCTCCGCAATGTCAAGGGCTGTCCTTTCCCATGGTGCACCAATATTGTACAATTTCGATGCTCCTCTACTGCGTGTCTGAGGTCCCCTCACAGCCGCACAACTTGTATATGTACGACATCAATCCTCGACATCGTCACGATAATAGACCCAGTAAAACTGTTCTCGGATCTTCAGTAGAGTTCGTTTAACTCCCAGATGGACTCTTGAACGACCATTATGGCACAGCTGTAGAACATTCGGCACTTTAGCTTTAGGGACAACCATTTGCAAACGACAGCTGTCTCCTCGACCATTGTCCCATTTACGACACAGGACTCCATGCTGAATCAGCAAACTGTCCCATTGGGCCCAATAGCTTCTAGTGGTCGAACTCATCGCTGGGACGTTGCTCCACTTAGGCTTGGTAGCACGGGCCTTCATCCATTCCGGAATCGGCTTGATGTCCGGATCTTCCTACTGTGCATGTTGTAGGTTGTCCTTCCACTCGTTGCTGAGGTGGTCTGTCCTGAGCATCCTCACGGATATCACTTCCTTACTCTCTTGCCTAGTACAATGTTTCCAATCTTCAGGACAAGGTCTTCCTGACAATGCATCTGCGTTGCTATGAGATTTCCGATAGTAAAGTTGTATCCCGGCTGCTGCTGGGCGGTGATGTTAGCCCCACTTCCCTTCTGAGATCGTTCACCTTCCCTTTCTAGGGTTCGCTTAGGGCAGCTGGATCGAAGATGGCCCCTTTCCCCACAGCCATAGCACCTAGGGCTGTATCCTTTATTATGGTCGCGAATCGTAACTGCTGCAACCTCCCTAGCGTGAGGGGAACGATGATCCTGCCACCGCCAGGCGGTGCCGTTAGCTGCACTACCCTCTTGAGATCGATCAACTTCCCTTTCTACAGTTCGCTTAGGGCAGCTGGATCGAAGGTGGCTCCTTTCCCACAGCCATAGCACCTAGGGATGTATCCTTTGTTGCGGTCTCGAACTGTAGCTGCTGCAATCTCCCTGACGCGATGGGAACGATGATCCTGCCGCACGGCTTCCACCTCCAGTGCGTGGGCCAAGGCGTCCTTAAGCGTTTCGTAGTGCCCGAGCCTCACAGCAGCTCTGACTTCCAGTTCGCGGATGCCGTCGATGAATGTCTGCACCAGGTACCCTTCAATGAGCGCAGGTACAGACCGGTATGCTTTTCGCACCAGCTTCTCCACCTCTAGAGCCCACTGCTGCAGGTTTTCGTTGATGCGCTGCACGCGATCTTTAAGCTGCGTACGAAAGACGTATTCCAGGTGAGCGTCGCCATATCCCGCCTCCATTGCCTCAAGGAGTTGCTCATAAGTCACTTCCTCACCGAGAGCTTCCAGTACTGTTAAGGCCTGGTCGCGCAGGCCTAGTGTGAGAGCAGTCATGGCCTGACTTTTATTCCAGCCGTTCGCCTTCATAACAGCCTCGAACTGGATTTTTTAGGCTGACCAGGAGGAAGTCCCGTCGAACGGTGGCACCTTGAACCCACGTAGCGAAGGTGTAGTAGCTACTATGGGAGCTGTAGTTCCATTCCCAAGTTTGAGTTCGTCTAGTGATTTCTTCATGTCAGCCATTACGTTGTCAACCCGATTGTTCACTTGGTCGATTTGGGTTTTAGCTTCCTTGATTTGGGTTTCAGCTTCCGACAGGCGGTTGTCATGTTGAGCAACCCTATCCTTCACCTCCCTTACTTCTTTCCCAAAGGTAGCGTGAAGGTCCTTCATGAGGAACATCTGCTCTTCCGACCGACGAGCCTGTTCCGCCTGCTGATCTTCCAACCGCCGGGCCTGTTCCTCTTGTCCGCGCTGCAGCTGCTCTTCCAGCCGACGGACCTGTTCCTCCTGTCGGCGGGCCTGTTCCTCCTGTCCGCGCTGCAGCTGCTCTTCCAACCGACGGGCCTGCTCCTGCAGCATCACCATCAGAGCACCTAAGTCAGGTGCTGCAGATGCAGCAGCTACTGACGAACCGGCGGCTGGCCCTCCGACGTCTGCGGCGTTGCACCACCAACCCTCTCTGGTCCGTCTCCTGCTGGCGTTGACTTCGGGTACGGACACCCTCCGTTTCCTCCTTAGGTAAAATCGGCATGATTTTATCCCACTTCTGACACCAATTTTTAC